GGCTGCACACGGCACCCGCCCGCACACGCACGGGCCCGGGGCTGCACACGGCACCCGCGCGCACACGCACGGGCCCGGGGCTGCACACGGCACCCGCGCGCACGCACAGGCCTAGTGTCACAAAGATGCCTAGTGGCAACAACTCGAAGGCTCATGGGCAGAGGGCTGCTTAATACATTGCGCACCAGTAGCTTTCTTGCCAGCTTTACCCAGTGGCCAGATAAGTTTCTACTGAACGGGTACAAAAAATGTTTTACAAAGTATCATACTTTAAAAAGATATTAGCTTGTAAGAACATGTAATAAATAACTTCAAAATGCAATGGGTATTTGATTTTAAGGCGTGCCTTTAACATTTACGTAGTACACTGTGTAATATGAAAACATGAGAATGCTTGTGATCTGCCCGCAGTGTGTTAAGTAAAGGAAATCAACCAACCATTAAATACGTTACACATACCTTTATAGCTGGTGCCTGGCCCTGTTATCAGGATTTTGCATAAATTCATTTAATTCTCACAATCATGCAGCAAACTTACCCACGGCCCAGAGGACACAAGCGCAGAAGGTGCACAGCTGGCTCCTGTCGGGGAGGGCCCTGAACAAGGGGACCCTCGGGATGCTGTGTCAGTGCCTCTCAGGTCATGTGACATTCGGACCAGAGCCATCAAGTGGAGGCCGAGTTCCACAGCCTTGAGCTGCTCAGTTCCGTGGGAAGGCAGTGTCTGTTCTGCTCCCAGCTGTGCGTGGAGCCAGCGGACCTGTTGGCTGGAGCACAGCAGAACCTTTTCTGTCAGTCCCCCTCCCTCCCCCCCCAGCAGTGGGTTTGGAGCAGGGACAGGTGAACAGGTGGAGGGCCCCTACCTTTTGCTCACAGATTGTTTACACGTGTTTGCACATCCGATGTGCGCCAAAAAGCTGCGATGGCCAATAAGTAACGGAAGGCTCGCCCTGGCCCGTTCCGCGAGGCTCACTGTCACGTGACGCTGAGAAGGGACGAAGGCCAAGCCCGTGTAAGGGACAGCAGAGTGCACAGCGTCCTCACCGCTTACTCAGGACTTGCGTGCTAGCACCGGACAGCGCTTCCTGGGAAAAGAAGGCTCTCATTACGGCCTGGGCTCCCTGAGCCCCAGTGGATCAGCAACCTCCGCAGCCGAGGGGCCCCGGTGGGCTCTGCCTCCCGCGGTGCTGGGGCCTCGCTGCAGCGCCTGCCCCCTCACGTGTGACTTATTAAAGCTACAGTTCCTTCCCCTTAAGTTTCCCTAGGCTAGAGCAGCGGTTCTCAACCTGGGGGTCGAACGACCCTTTCACAGGGGTCGCCTAAGACCATCGGAAAACACATATATAATTACATATTGTTTTTGTGATTAATCACTATGCTTTAATTATGTTCAACTTGTAACAATGAAATTGGGGGTCACCACAACATGAGGAACTGTATTAAAGTGTCGCGGCATTAGGAAGGTTGAGAACCACTGGTAGAGCCTCCCTCTTTCAACATGTGTTAAAAAGTCCTAGAGGCTTAAATCGTGCTGCCAGAATGTGGAAACCCAGCCGGGTAGAGAGTGGGGGTGGGGTGTGGGGTGTGTGTGTGTTTGTGTGTGTGTGTGTGTAGAGCAGGGGGGCTTACCCAGGGCGGGACCCCCCCACCCCACCCCCAAATCTGGCCAAGGCTCCTCTCCTGCCTGAGGACACACTTTGGCTTCCAAGGCCTCCTGAGACAGGAAAACTATTTCAGCAGAAAAGAACTTTCTGGGACTGTGGATTCCGGGCGACTGCACCTCCCAGACCACCCCACAGGCAAAAACACCTCCTGGGCTGAGGGGATGGGGCAGGAGGAGCGGTGGGTGGGCAGTGGGCTGAGACTTCCCGCCTCCAGGGGTCCCTGCAGAGCCCGTCCCCCCACAGGCTGGGTGAGCCCAGGTGGGGACGGGGCAGGAGGGACTGGGGACAGGTCCAGGGAGTTTTCCTGTCTCCCACCCCAGTTCTTGGGGCTGAGAAGCCAAACCCCTGAACCTCTTTATCTCAAAAGACACTTGGCAGGGACCAGATTAGGGCTATGTGAGCTGTCTGCGGAAGGTGGAAACGCGGTCACTTCTGCATTTGGCCTTGCTGTGTGCACACACACGCACGCACGCACACAGGCACACACACGCACGCGCACAGGCACACACATGCACACACACACACGCACGCACACACACAGGCACACGCACACGCACACACAGGCACACAGGCACGCACACAGGCACACACATGCGCACACACGCACGCACACACACAGGCACACGCACACAGGCACACACGCACACACAGGCACGCACATGCGCGCACACACAGGCACACACACACACACGCACACATTCACACACATGCGCGCACACACACAGGCACACTTTTTTTCTCGCTTCCCAGGCCCAGCCTCTAAGAGTGGGCTCTGCCTCTGCTGTGATGGCCACCCCCACCCCCACCCTCACCCCACGCCCCCTCCCCACCAGGCAGCCCCTCGGAGGCGAAGCACCAGTCCTGGGAACTCTAGTTTTCTGGTGGCTTCCTTGGCCCCTGACCCAACTCCGGCCTCAATCTTTTTTCACACCCACTAGTTAGCAGATGGATCTCGATTCAGCACCAACAGGTGGGAAAAGATCTATAAAGCATGGCCCTGGGTCAGCCCCCAAAGGCCTCTCTCTGCTTCCACCCTGTAAACCCTCAGGGCCCAGCCAGGGTGTCAGGAATGGGTGTCAGGAATGGGCAGGGCCCGGGGCGGCCTCGGGCTGCAGCTTCCGGTTCCGGGTGTCTGCACGTGGGCAGGTGCCCTCTCTGACCTCGTTCAGGGCGGAGACTGTTATTTCAATGCTGTGATTCTAAATTCCAGTAAAGTGAGAGCTACACCCGGTCATCCAGACCGAGGTCCCGGGGACCCGAGCCTCCTCCCGCCTCCGTCCGCCTCCGTCCGCCCTGGCGCTGCCCACAGCCCGCACCCCCTTCCCAGGCTCAGCCCTCAGGCGCCCCGCGGCCAGGCGGTCACAGCCACGCCCCCTCCGTGGTGACCACAGGTTGCAGGGTCTGCGGAGCCAGCTGGCTGCTCCGAGGGCCGGGCCGCCTTCCTCTCCCGGGACAGCCGCTCGGCCACTGGCCCCCTCGCGCGGAGGACAGGCCTCCCCCGCACCCCGTTGCTAAGCCTGCGGACCCCCGACTTACACACGCCGGTGTCCCTGTCCCAGGGGCCCGGGCCGGGGCGTTTAGGAGCGAGCCTGCCCCCCAACTCGCGATCCCGCCCTGGCCACTGTGACCCCGTTTCAAGGTCCAATTCACAGACAGGCGGCGGCAGTGTCAGGCGGGGCTGTTTCGCTATTTGGGGGGGTTGGGGGGGCCTCCGGTGTCCTGGCCCCTCTGCTGCCTCCTCCCCTACCCGGCGCTTCCTACACTCAGCGCAGGGTCCGGGCGCTGAGGCCACAGGTGTGTTCTTGGGGGGTGTGGGCCCCAGAGATACGCTGAGGAAGTGGGCCAGGCTCCCCGTGGGACTGCCGTGTGGAGGAGGTTCACGTTCCCGGCCTCAGAGAGCAGCGTCCCGGGGCCCATCGTCCCTCTATGCAGCCCAGCCGGGTGGGAGCCGCGCCTTCTCCGTCCGGGCTGCGTGGCCGGAGGCACTGGGTGGGAGGGAAGCTCTGAGCCGTGGACTCACATTCACACCTGCCTTTTACTACGTGACCTTGAGAACGACCCGTGTCTGGCAGGCAGGATTCCCTTCATGGCACCCCATCCTGGGCTCGCACGGGGCGGGCTCGGCCAGTTTCTAACCCAGATCCTATCAGTCCCAGGTGGCCCGCCAGTTACCAACGTGGAGCTTTAAAAATACATATATGAGAAACTTTAAAATGGAGAGTTCTAGTCTTACTTATATGTCTCCTTATTGACTGGCGGCCACTCGACTCCTGGGGCCTCAGCCAGCCCTGGCCACAGCCTCCCCGGTGCGGAGGGCCAGCTAGGAAAGCCGCCCCGTCTGCAGAAACTCCGTCAGCCGGGTAACTGGGTGCGGCCGCCGTGCAGACAGGAGGTCCCAGGCAGGCAGGCCGGCCACTCCTCGCCCTGCAGGGACACCTGGGACGGTGCCCGTCTGCCGCAGCACAGGCCAACTGCCCACGGCCCAGCCATTCTCAGCGCCTTGGTTCTGATGGCTCTTCCGGGACTGACTGCCGCCTGCTGGCCTGGCCGGTGCTCAGAGCCAGCGGCAGGAGTCCGCGGCCACCAGGGGACCAGCCATCTTAGTCCAAAATCCCACACATGGCCATTTGGCTTGGCCCGTGGTTTCTAAGGGCAGAAACGTGTGGCTTTAACTTTCTACAAAAACAAGGCCGCACCAAACCACTGGGCAAGCTGGTGCCCACAGCCCACAGGGAGGTGCCAGCTGTCTGCCCGTGGGTGCTGGGTGCGTGTGGCTGTGCCCGCCCCGTCCTGCTCCACCTCACAGGAAGCCCAACATGCCAACCAGAGGGAAGGGCATCTTCACAGGAAGCAGCGTTCTTGTATTTTATTCAAATTTAAAAATCACATTTGGATTCTTCTACCAATATGATAAGCAGACAGTCCCACGCAGAGCACATGCAGCTGCGCAGAGTGGACCCTTCCGGAATGAGAGTCGCTGCTGGGCAGCCCTGAGGCCCAGGAACGTACAGAGGCCGCTGCCACCCCAATAGGCCAGAGTCGTGAAGGCAGCGCCGGCCCCTCGCCATCACATGACAGCAAGGCTGGAGCTTCTCTGGCGCTGTAAGCCAGTGGTCGCCAACCTTTCGGACCTCACGGACCACCAGTTAAGCCCCTGCCTTTTGGACTGTGCGGGAAGGTCGGTTTCTGCCCCTTTTACAACTTCCAACCTCAGCGGGATGAGGGACTGCGAGGGGCGGGGCCTCTGTGCACTGCCTGTCAGACTGCTGATGTCAGCCTGCCTTTTAAACTACCTTTTTAAACACAGTATTAATTAAATTCAGAAACAAACAGGAATACAAAAACATTAATCCATTACATTTTATTATTAAATACATCTTAGGTTCTTATCCCGTACTTTTACCAAAAGGCACTACAATTTTGGCAAACATCTAAATAACAGAACTATCGACCAAAATTCTGCAGAACTTTCTGAAATGAGCCAGAGAAGCCCGTGGAGTGGAGCTCACTGGCTCCGCACAGAAGCCTGACTCTCCGGCCGCATGCTGAGGGACCCTCCGCGGCCTCAGGCTCTCCAGCGGTGCAGTGGCGGGCTGCGTACACGCTGACCCCACGCGCAGTCAGTGTGTGGAGGCGGCGCGTTCGGTGGGGACGAGGTGACCCTTTCTGAGGATGGGCCTTTCACGTGTGCTCTGCTGCGAGCAGCTGCGGGAAAGCAGCTCCAGACGCGGACGCCGATGTCGCTGAGGGCCCAGCAGCCCTGTCGCCTTCCTCTGATGTCCGGGTCAGCGCCATCCTGGTCCCACCAGGGCTACTAGGAGCTTATGAGAAAGAATCTCACTGTGATCTTTCCTGCAAAGAAACAGCAATAAAATCACTCCCGCTCAGAGGAATCCGTCAACCGGGACCTCCGTGTGCCTCCCGCTCAGGAGACGGCCGAGGGCAGGGCAGGAGGGGACCCCACGTCTCTCAGCCCCGAGAACGGGTTTGCAGCTCACACGCGGCTGTGAAAGCCGCGCTGATACGAGAGCCCATGTCAGAGCCACACACACGCCAACTGCTTCCAGCCTCCACACCCCACGGCCGGAGTGGCGCTGCCGGCGTCACCCCGCACTCGCCCGGGGCTGTACGATTCTGCCCACAGCCGCACCACAGGACATACAGACGGTGCCCGCTGCACGGTCTGGCGGCCAGCGCGCCGGCCTCTTCGCCGAGTGGAGTTGCAGCCTCTGGGCACTAGGAACAGGAAGGCTTTCTGCTCGAGGGCTCGACTCCTGTTCCTGCTGAACTGAGCCAGTGTGTAAATGAGAACTGATATCAGCTCAGTAGGCACCGGAGGGCGGGTCCAATCGACAGCCGTAGAAGCAGTGCCTCGGCTGGAGCTGCCGGCGTCCTGGGCTGCAGGAGACAGAGACCCGGGCTGCAAACACAAGAGAGAGTCACGGTGCCCCGAGGAGCAAGGGGCCCCACACGCACCCAGCCCCACGCACATGCAATCCCCGTGTGACAGTTCTCCTCGGCTCCTGTGATGCACTGGGTTTTAGTGTTTTGTAAGAACAACGTTTGTAGCGAAAAACACGTTTGACCTTTCAGAGAGCTACCTAGTTAGTTATGGTTCTGTAGCCTCTCAGTACATTCCTTGCACTGGTGACAAGAGAAAGTGCATCGTCGGGCTGAGCGGGTCTCTCCTCCTCCAGAATCGGGCTCGCACCCGAGCGGACCGCTCAGCAGCAGCCTCTGCCCCAGCGGCTCCACCTTACTGTCCCATCTCACCTTCTCTTCAGGTGCAGAACTTAGCCACTGTGAACAAAGCGGAAACCAGTCACTGTTCACCAATCAGCTAAGCTCTGCACCTCGGCAGAGAGGTCTCCGCTGGGCACAACGGGGGCGGGAGCGTCTTCGTGGCTGCTGGCTTCTTCTGTTTCCGGAGAAGAGCTACCACGTGCATCGTTCTCCCACTGCAGAGAGCGAGCGGCTCTGGCTCTGGAGAGCAGCCAAGGTCGTGGTTGCGTGGTAATCCCTGGCAATGTGATTTTAATCTTAAGTCACAAATCAGCATGCCAGGAACCCAAGCAGCCAGAGCACTCTGGAGCCGCCGTGCCTGCGTGCCGCGCCCACACCGCACACACCTGGTCCTTGGTCACCAGGCGACGACGTCACCACCAGGCCGGCCTCACTACCACATGGTTTTATTTTTTTGTCATTCATTTCGGTGCTGTCCTAGAGGAACAATTTTTTAAACCAAAGGACTGAGATGCCCATACAAATGCCAGTGCAGTTTTGGAACACAAGCTAGGAAATGCACCGACAAGCCGCCAGCAGGGTTGGTGGAGACGGCTGGCCCTCCTGCCCCCCTGGGCTCAGGGATGTCTGCTGGAAGGTGCAACTCCCTGGTCTTAACTGAGGGGGGGGGGGGAGGCAGAAGGGATGCATGTGACCCCCAGTTCATCTGGAAGGGGAAGGACAGGGAGACGAGAAAACAGCAGACTCCTCGCCAGGCCCACTCCTTTGCCTGCTTGAGGCAAGAACTGCACCAGAGTCGTGAGAGCCGAGTGCCCACTGTGGTTCCCACGGCTGAAAACAGGACGGGCAAGGAAGTCTGCCCAGGGCAGTTTCACACACTTCAAGAAACACAAACTCCCCATGAAATTGAACATCGAAAGAGAAATATGACTTATACTGTTTACTATAGGAGGGTGGCAACAAGATAACTGCTCTCTTTTGTAAACTGGCCCATCCATGACCAGGGCCTGGAGCCGCCTGGGAATGCTGTTGGGGTCGTCTGCACATAGCTGTCTCACTACTAGAGGCTCAATCGCTGCAGCTACTCCTACCATTTCCTTTCCCAGCACAGTGCCTCGCCTCTCCTGGTTGGTGCGCGCCTCAGAAAGGTGTTCCTCCTCAGCATTATTAGACTGCTTTCCAGTAAGTAAGGTTCTTAAATATCCTGGACAAAAATGATTTTCCAAGACAGAAGCAAACTAAGCGTCCAACAATGGGTTAAGAAGACCAACATAAAATATTAAATATCCATTAAAATTATATTTACAGAGAAGCCATATAACATGAAAAATGACTGAGCTCTATTGTCACATTTTTAAAAGGATACAAGATTAGACATACCCTATTTATAGCATGTAAAACCTGGAAGAAAAACAGACCTAGAAATGATGGTTGTTAGAGAGAAACAACACACTTACAATCCCACAGTCCTGCTTCGAGATGTTCCTGACCGTTGCTAAATTACTGTTTAAATGCAGAGCTCTCCACAGAAAGCCTAACCGCTAGGATGTAAATCTCCACAGGTCAATTCCAAGCACAATTAACAGGAAAAGCAATTCAAATAACTCAGGACTCCCTGCCACCTGAGCCTGGGAGAGCCTGCCCAGCTCCGCAAGCCTGCCTGCGGACGCAGCCCCGAGGCCAGGGGCGGGCTTTGGCGGGAGGACCTCCCCCCAGCCTCCCAGGTCAGCAGGGTCAACCTGAGCGATGGCGCCATTCTCACGCAGCCCAGGAGTTGGCCACTGGCCACGCACTCCCGCGTCAGCCTTCACCTTGGAGGCCAGGGGCCAGCACCCGTGCTGGGCTTCTCAGTCTCCCTCCTAACCATCCCCACGATGTGCTCCCCCAACTCCTGTTACTACAAGTGATAAAGCTGAAGTGGCCAAAACTGTGCCAAGGAGAGCTGTCCTGCCTGGGTGGACAGCTCTGCCCCTGGGGCCCCTCCCAGGCGCCCACGCTGGGGCAGAGGACTGACTTATGCGGGTGCTCTGGGATCACTGTTTGGTTCTTCATTTATGTGGCTCCTATGAGAAATCTGGTTAGAAACGACAATGGGGCAAGGAATGGGGGAGTTTACCTCTTTAAAACAGCATCTCGGCCACCACCTGGGCTGAGCATCTGTCCATCTGCTCCTTGGTCAGCTGGAAGCATTGGCGGGCGAGCTGCTGCTGCCTGGCGTCCTCGCTCACCATCAGCTCCCCGTAGAGGTAGATGCCCATGGCCTGCAGGGGCAGAGGCCAGAGAGCATGAGACAAAGAAATTATGTGTCCACACCTGCAGTGTCAGTTTGTTTCACACAAACGTGCTGGTCCAGAAATCACAGGAGACCTCAGAAAAGATACGACAGTTGAACAGCTGTACTTGAGGAACCGTAGTCTTCAACTCCTCTTTCTTGCTTTCACTGAAACTCTAAGGAATTCTCAGCTATCAGTTCCATCAGCAGAACCGTGGTGATTTAACTGATGACCAAGTGGTGACAGTGAGCGTTTCCCTAGCGATGGCCGTGCTCTGGAGGAGAGGGGGTCTCGGTACAGCTGACGGCAGCACCGAGGTGCTGTGTGCATGTCACAAGACATCGCTCCTTCCCAGGACAGGTGGCCCTCGGCACGGCTGGGCCACGCAGACCACCATGCCACTCGCAGCCACAGGCAGGCAGCAGCATCACGCCACCTGGGAAGGTGCCCACTGCTTCAGCGGAGCCGACCGCGGTCCCTCCACTGCGGCAAACACCGGCTCTTCTGTTCCAGACACAATGCTGCGAAGACCTATGTCTGCACTTTTCCTACAGTTTTAAAAACAGCCAATTATGCTCTGAAGACCCAAGACCCCTAGGGTTCTGCCTCCTCTCTCCACGCTTGGCTGTGCCATGGATCCCCTCTGCTGGGGCAAATTAAGAGAAGGACCTCAAAGACAGTGCAAGACAAAAACTTGTCTAGTTAGAGGCTCACAATTTCTTTCCTGTAAAGGCTGAGATGTGGTAATCCGTATTTAGAAAAGTTGATGGTTCTAAGTATATTGCAGTTAACTCTGGTTTTCAAATAGACCTTAATTTTCTCTTGCATTTTGTCCTCCTTATACTAAACTCTGTTTCCAAACACCTCCTGCTCCACTGTGCAAATGTGACATTTCTTCTGGTACAAAGTCATGCATTTTTCTTTGTGGGAATAACAAGCCCTTCCGTGCTGGCAGCCCCCCACACTCAGGCCCTCTCAAAAGCTCCTTTGTTTGCCCTGCCCCCGCTCTCCGCCGACTGGAACACGCTCCATGCCGTCGGCCATGGCTGGGCAGGAAGCTCGCTCGTAGGCACACACTGGTCAAGCCCACGGGCCGAGCTGCAGGCTGCCTTCCAGCCACACAGACCCCGTGGCACGTCCCACCACGGACAGCCACGCCAGGACAAGTGTGGGTGGGTGCAGAGTGGCACGGAGGACATCCCCAAACATGGCCACCCACACACGCTTCCTGTGGGCTCCCGGGAGGATGCCCACTTTCCTCTGGTGAGCAGGGAGCAAGTTCTTGCAGGAAAGACACTCAGCACGGGCCTGTCTGGCGTGACAGGTGCAGACAGACAGACAGACTGCTCCCTCGGCTGGGCTCCCCATCTCGCCTTCTCACAGGCTTTAAGTCAGGACCAGCGAGGACAGATATGCACCAGCATGACTGAGCCACCCTGGACCCGAGGCCTGTGATGCCGTGAAGTCTGCACAGGCCTCACTTGGTCACGGCCACCCCAGGTGAAACCAATGGTGCCTCTGAGGACCAGGGCTCAGTGCGTTAAGGGACACTGAGCTCTCAAGGGAGAATCTGCTCCTACCAACCCTTCAGCCTTTGGAAAAATGTTTTAGTATTTGTTATCCTTGGGTCCCGGACAGCCGGCAGCAGCACCGGCGGAACCTGAGCTGTGAGGACGACCTACCTGGTCCTCCTGGAGGAACCTCTCCACGGTTTTGTACGCGGTTGTGTATTTGTGCTTGACGACGAGTTCACACCACCGATGGCGAACCTTCACAAACGAGAGAAAACCCCGTAAGCAACACACCGGCAGGTTCCCTTGGCCATAGGAGTTTCAGACTCAGAGCCTTCTGTGTCCGCGTCCTCGCTTATCCTGGGGGGCGGGGTGTGTGTGTGTGTGTGTGTGTGTGTGTGTGCACGCGCGCGCGCGCGGCAGGACCCGTGATGCCTGAAACCTCAGAGAGGATGGGCTATGATCAAGTTTAAGGCCTTGGCCACCTCAGCTGAGCACTTATCACACGGTGGCTGTAACTTTTGCAGTCTGAAGCACAAAAGCAAAACTGGCCCAAATTTCTTTTCCATCTTCACAATTTCAAAAATAGAAAATCCGTTCCTACCACAGATCTCAGCAACCTCAGCTATGATTTCTTTCTTTCCTTACTAAGTTGAGAGCTTTCATGTTTTTACACGAAGGAAGCTCCACACGGCTCCTCTCTGGGGGATGCGAGCTGTGGCACCCCGCTCCGAGCTCCGAGCTCCGAGCTCCGAGCTCCGAGCTCTGGCCAGGGAGCACCGCACCGGGAGGTGCCGTTTCAGTGGCCTGACTGCAGAGGCCGCCAGTGACCCATGTGCGGGGAATGCTCCTGTGCGGCCTGGAGACAGGGGACAAAGGAATGAGTCACGTTCTGGTGGGGGGCAGAGCGAGAGGGTTCGAGATTTCATCATACTACTCAGAATGGCATGCAACTTAAATCGTAAGAACTGTTTATTTCTGTAATTTTCCATTTAATGTTTTCAGACTGCAGTTGACTACGAGTAACTGAAACCACAGATAACGGGGGACTACTGTACTCTTTGGAGTGTATTAACATTGTTGGCACTTTCAGCTTTAAATTTCATTTAAATTTATTTAACCATGTTCCTCATTAGGAGGACTGTTGGTCAACTTCAGGGGAGGAAAGTACATGTTTCAGTTGGGTGTTGTGATGTTTTTAAAGATTTTGCAAAATGACAGGTAAACGAAAAATGCAGCTAAGAAACTAAAGGCACATCCCTGGCCAGGCGGCAGGTACGCTGCCCACTGGGCTGTCCATGAAGGTTTCCTTTGAAACCACAACTTCACTTCCTGCAATAACCGATATGGTTCAAAGCTGTTGATGGTTACAAGAGAGGGAGGCCGGACAACACTCTCCACATTCCTGAGAAGAGGCAGAGCGCCTCCTGGGGGGTTGGGATGGCTGGGGGGGGGGGGGGAAGGGGGGAGAAGGCGGGGGGCGGGGGTGTGAGCAGGGAGAAGACCAAGGAGATGCAAGTAGCTCGCACTGCAGGTTTGTACAACATGCGGAAAACAGATGAGCTCAAGGTGGGTGCTGTTTGGTAAAGACACTTTCCTAAAGACTTTGCCAGCACCCCCTCCCTCACACACACCCCTACAGACGATGTGGAGGTGAGACCCAGCCCTGACTGCCTCGATGACAGCGGCAGAGCCCTGGCATTTCTCAGCCCTGAGGCGCGTTCTTCACATGGAAATCCCACCTGGATTTGGTTTTCAGAGTCGTTATGTGGTAATCCGTATTTAGAAAATAGACCTTAATGCTCAGGTAGCTTTGACCATGTTGGTCCACCTGTGATCCACGCTGGCTACACATGGAAGGGACTGTGTGCATTTGGAAAAGCCGCCTTCTGTCACTCTGTTTTCCTGGCCTTTGAAGGAACCCATTGGTGCCAACAGTAAAATACAAGCCATTTCAACGTTTTGGCCGGGTCCCCCGTAGATTTTATCATTACCCACCAGCCTGGCCAGGTCTCTCCTTTAATCTACTACAAACAGATTTACATGCAATTAGGAATGAAGGAAAGAAACAAATCTTTTGGAAAGAACCCTTCCCGGGGCTACACTGTGCTCCCGACAGTGTTAATTCGGGGACTCTGGTGGCGCTGCCCTTGGCTGTGGGCAGCCAGGTCCTTTGAATCTGTAAGGACGGGATACCAATGAGCTTTTACATCCAGGGGGGAATTTCAGAGGTGCACGGGAATGAGCTAACAGCCTGGGGCATCACCACGAAAGGGAAGCTGCTCGGACGAGATGGGCTGCAGCAATCTTCCCATCTTCAATAGAACGCTCTTTCCTGTGCGAGCAACAGAAACTAACAGACCATAAATGGGCAAGGGCAGCCCGGAACTGTTCTGAGCGGAAAGAACACGTGAACAGAGAAGTCAGCTCCTCACACATCCATCGGAGGAAGCCATTAGAACCACCAGACCCCACTCCCACAACTCACGTCCAGGCCACGCACCGGAGAGACTGCAAAGGGGGCCTCTACCCCTCGTCTTATCCCAACTCACGGTCATCTAAACACCCAGAACCCACATCCTGCCAAGCACCAGCAGACTCTCGTTTGTGGGAACGGAGGTTACCCGTGGCCACCGGTGGGAGGGACAGTTAGAGACGAGGATGCTGCTCGCCACGGCTCTGGGCCCTCTCTCACACCGCACCAGCTGTTAGTGGGTCATGGACGGTACCCAAAGCCTCTGTCAGCTTCAAAATGTTTGAACTGATTCAAATCCTGATCACACTGTGCCTTTGACAACGACTGCTTTTTCTCGTTCTACAACTTGGGGGAAATTCACTTTTTAGCCCAGATTTTGAGAATGGAGGTGTTAGCCTGTCATTGTCCCTTCCTGTGCTCCCTCCAGCCTGTCTGTACACATACAGAAATAACTCAGCATTAATCAGACCCCCGGATGGGCAGGTGGGGGTGGGATGCCCCCCCCCCGGCCCCCTCACAAGTGAAAGAAGTTCCAGGGACAAGACACAGAAAGAGGCTCTTCACATCAATATGGAGTAGGCACTGCCACGCCTGTTAAAAACAGTGTATTCTCACAATTAATAAGAGACCTAGTCTCCTGACCCCTGAAGGCTACAGGGTGCCCAGCCTCCCCTGCTCACCAAAGAGCAAACAGCAGGCCCTTCATCACCTAAGAGCTGAGGGCGCGTCACCGTTTCCACAGCAGGACGCTCAGAAGACACCACGGGGCCCGCGCTGGCCACGGGGAAGGCGAGGTCCAGTGTGGGAGCCTCAGCCGGAGAACTGAGAAGCAGGCCTCTTGAGGACGGCTGTCCGCTCTGCATATCTGCGCTTCTTTATTTTCCGGGAAATTATTGGGTGAGGAGGCAACGTTTCTCACTTCCTCGGTGCGATGGAAAATAACCTCCACGCACACCTACAGCAGCGCTGGAGCCCGAGGCGCCGGCTGCCACTCTCGAGTCCCCTCATTCAGTCTCAAGAAGACCCTGTGTACACACTATGTCCACACGGACCGAATCCCGCTGTACACACGTTTTATCACCCTTCTGTCTCAACAGGGCTGAGAAATTTAATGACTTTTTCAACTACAACTCAAATTCACGAAGTCACTCTCAACTCATGCTAGAGATCTCCAACAAAAGCCTCGCCTCGCGTCAGCCAACGCCTTAGCTGAACACCATCCACACAGTCAGGCTGGGCAGAAGCAGGGCAAAGACGAGAAGGGCAAAGAGGCAGGCAGGGGTGCAGGGCGTGGGGCCGCGAGGGGAAGAGGAGGAGAAGGGACGGTGCAGAAGGGAGAGGCCGGGCTGTGGCGCCCCTCCCAGGGCACTTGGAGCCTGGCTTCCCAAGGATGTGCCCGTCACTGAGCCTTCAGTGCAGATAGCAGCTGGGCCTGGCCCGTCTCCCGCCATCCAGTGCCAGGACCAGAGTGCCCCCAGTACACAGAGCCGTGCTGAAGGTTCCGGAACATGTGCGAACTATTAGCATAGTGCCTGGCACACGAGTAAGGAGGGATGATTAATGAAGGGGATGTACCTGGGGTGGGGGCGGGGGCGGGCTGGAAGAGGTCAATGGGGGAAAAAAGAGGGACATATATAATACTTTATTCAACAATAAAGATTTTAAAAAGGAGGGTGGAGGCCCGTTTCTTCCCATTAAGTCCCAATGAAGTTGTGATACACAGATGTACGCACACAGGAGTGCACATGTGAACACTAATAAAAATCAGCTTGCGATCTGCTTCTCAACGTTTCTGCTTGAGGGACACTGAAGACTGGGTGCTGCCCTCCGTGCACAGCGGGGCTGTAACACAGCGGCACTCACCCGCCCCTGTAAATGGACTTAACAAGTTTCCAGGTTTCTGAAGCCTCTCTGAGCAAAAGGGGATGGGAACCCAGCAAAGCAAATGGTGCAGACGGGAGTCTCAGAATTCAGGGGGGAGAATGAAGAATGTTTGCAGAAGCCGATTCATGCCAGACCCACATTTGATAGTAGAATGAAAATCCTTCAATGACCCCTGAGCTGCACCTGGACCGTGTCCCCCTGCCCCACAGCAGGGACTCCGCCAGGACAGTATGTCTGTGATAACAGGCCTCCGTCATCTGGGAGACCTGGGTAGGCAGATGGCCTGGGTACCCAAGAGGAATTCTGCAGAAACACATAGGCCTCTAACTACAAGGCTGGTGGCTCATTCGCTCCAAATACATTCAGAGCAGGCGACACTTATGTATATACACATGCACACACTCTCTATTTCTGTTCCTTATGCTGGCTGGTGACCTACTAAACTGACCTCCTGACCCACAGAGCAGTGCCCGGGTCTAACCCAGCAGCCCTGTCCGCTGGGCCGGTTGCTCTCACCAGGCCCAGCCCGGTTGTGAGAACTGACCGGTTGCCGAGCAAGGGCTAGACTAGGAACTCCCACACAGGAAGTGCTTTTCATCTTAGCAGGAGCCGCATGCGTCGGCTTTATTTCCTAATTCAGAGTTCATTTTTATTGAATTGATAAAGCTGGGGAATATTACTTCTAAGAGCTGTTTGTTAACTGGTGAAATAAGGAGCGAGTGCCTGTCAGGGCTGCTGCTTGCTGGAGGGGCGGCCCTGGATGTGCGGAGGGAAGGGTCGGGGCAGGACTCGGAGCAGACTCCTGCAGGGACAGAGCGGAGGAAGTGGGGCACCACCAGGGAGGGGCCTAGAGGCCTGAGGGAGCTGGGACTTCTCGAGGCACCCCTGGGAAGTACAC